TAGAGCCAACAACCATTCGCTTTTTGTGCAATAAAAAATTATTTGGTAAATAATTTTCTTGATTTAAATCATTAAAATAATTTTTCCTCCTGGTCGATTTCAAAACGCCTGTTGTCCTAAAATAATTCGTCGGCTAACACAATATCATGTATTTATTACGGGATAATATTACGTGTTGAGACACTCGTGCCACAGTTGCATTTGGCCTTGAGTTTATCGTATCCAGATAATTGACGGTATTATCCACAACGTTGAGTGCTCGTGAACGAGGATTAAGTGCGGTAACATAATAAAATATATATTCCTAAGATACCCAGACTCCCCAGTGAACAAAATTCCGGTGTAACTCCTTTAAATTTGTTAATGTAAAGAGCTACTGGACTGACTTTAAGACTTCGATTTATAGCTTAAAATTGAACACATGCATCAACGCTGTGTTAGAGCTATGAGTAAACTATACACAATTTTTCAGGTTGTATGCAGTTTGAGATGATTTTGATTTTTAATTTGGAATTTAACGGATTTCGAATGATGGTAAAAAATATTAATATTTTACTGTACACGAGCTGCATCATCGATGCCTTAACAAATTACAACTATAGCAAACCGTTAGGTGATGTTTATTATTTAAGACCTGCGGGACTCTAATTTCATTAAGTTCACTCTACACAAGTCGTAGCTACGGTGCAACTACGTAAAAATTAGTGGTTTTTAACGACTAATTCTGACGAAGTTTCGCAACTTCGTGGACTTAATTGCTGCAAAGTTTGTGCTGTCGGCATTTAGGGTTCAGAACAAACTGGAATAACAGACCTGCGACATCTTCTGCCTCAGTTCTATGCTGAATTGCAAGCTATTAAACCTGCGAACCCGGAAATGACCTGAATTGAGCACAAAATTAGACTCACACGAGGCTAAGGGAGTGAATATTACGGGGAGTGAAGGATTAGGTGATCAATTCTAAAGATGTTAGTACAAATTATAAAACAGCCTTTTGACGCGTCATTACAACGATCTGACGGATTTTTTGTGTATCAGCATTACAATGTGACAGATATGCTGAATATCACTATTATGATGCAACAGGTATCTTGAGTATAAGTATTACGATGTGACAGATATGCTGAAAATCAATACAACGAGACGGCAAGTCTTGGGTATCATATTGCCGATCTCGCAGACCTCGGCTGCACCACTTCAATGCAATTATATCAACCCGTACTGTGTTCTGATCACAGTTGAAATTATCTTCAAATGAATTCAATGTCTGCCGGGATAAGACGATCGATGAAGTGAAATTAATTGGCGTGACCTCTCCAGACGTGCTTACCTTCGTTAGACGTGCGTACCCTCGTTAGACGTGCGTACCCTCGTTAGACGTGCGTACCCTCGTTAGACGTGCGTACCCTCGTTAGACGTGCGTACCCTCGTTAGACGTACGTACCTTCGTTAGACGTGCGTACCCTCGTTAGACGTGCGTACCCTCGTTAGACGTACGTACCTTCGTTAGACGTGCGTACCCTCAGACGTGAGTACCCCCGTTAGACGTGCCTTTTAAAAAATTTTTATAACGGAGACCCAATTAATTCGCTCGATTAATGCTTGGTTAACCACAAGTATCTCTCACTGCATCAAATCACATGCGAACAATTACATAATTATTTGAGAAATAATAATAATTGACACTGATCCAGATTATTATATAGGTTTTGTGTCATGAATCTGTAGCAGGGAAAAATTGAATTTGCATAACATTAGAATTTGAACGATTATATAACGATACGATTATTTAACGATGTGCTTATTTAACGGGACGATTATTGAACGATAATCTCAACTTCGTGAGCCCTTTTATAACATATAGGAACGATTTGCAATGGATCATAGATTTGAGTTTTCAAGTTTTTTATTAAAATTATGACAGCGTGAACGAAAAACGAATCGCTAGTTAATAAATATATTAGCATTTTATTCTCATGTCTGCGTTATAGATAGGATGAATTTCCCCTAAAAGGCTTTCAAAATGTACTAATTTTTGAAATTGCTCAACTTAAGGGGGCTAAGGGAAAAACGCATTATCAGCTCCACATACATACATTTGTTAACAGATATTAGAGTTTGAAAATGTTTCAAGAAAGTTATAGGCAAGTATTTTGCCGCGCCTCTCATCAGACGGGTGCCGGTTGAAGAAAATTTTTCGTCTTGCGAAGAGAATTCGACGCAAAGTTCAAGGGACTTGCTCCATCAGAGCTATTTTTCCATCGCACGGAGATCATCAAAGAAAATCTGTGTTATCAAACTCGGAACTGAAGTGTACGAATTAATTCAAAAAGAAAAGTTTCCTAAAAGGACGGGGCTGGCCATGGCTTCGTCTTCATTTTTTATTTCGCACATAGGACGCTTAAATTAAATTATAAATCACATTGAGGTACAGAGACTTCATAAGGAATGTAACTCGCATGATCCAAATTATTAATTTAGTGAATCGGGTGAAGAATTTTTGAGAGTTATTAAAATCAAATTCAATGCATGGTATTCAGAAATAAGAACTTCGAAAAAATAAGCTGTTTCGTAACGTAGTTACACTTGCGAAGCTAAACTAAAAACATAACAATATAAATTCAGAGATAAACAATAGCTTTTTCATTGAGCATCATCAATGAAGTTCAACAATCTTCATCCAGTATCCAAAAAAAGTCCTTCATTCAACAAAACATTATGAATGAATTATTCATTCCTGGCCATTGTTTTGTTTGCTTGTTAAGTTACTGATAGGCAATTTTCAACCGAACGCGCACAGCAAAGCAAAATCATGAAGCAATTCCCATGCACGCGTCCGATTTGCCGTCGATACTGCTCCAGAAATCACCAAACTTCCTTTTATTAATCTTTTTTTACAAAACGATGTTGGGTTCATCTCCTGTGTAAGAATCGCGTTTGCATGTTATGAATCTAATGAAAATAAAAATTGAACAGCGAATATTCGTAAATGTATTATTTTAAACAAATTAACAAAGAGCAAAAAGGAAGCGTAATTTTTTCTTCGGACACGAGTACACGTGGAATTTTGAATTCAAATGAAAAAATCACAATTACGTTTTAGAACTATGGCTAGACCTTGAGTTCGGTAAACAAATTTTATGAAAGAATATTTAACATGAAGACATTCATCTGGACCCACTAAGGAAATGAAGATGCCAGTGTGAATCTGTAAATTGATATTAGCGAGCCCAGAAATGTTAAAAAAGCTACATCGTCCGTACATATAACAGAGACACACATGCAGCTCAGGTTTCGTGAACGTGACTGGCATGAGGCAGCTTTAGGCTCATCTCATTCCCATTGCAATTCCTTTCCTGAACACGCATTCCCATTCCAGGATTGAGTTGCAATGTAAAAAACAATGCTTGAGCTTTCCTTTCTCTCATTCGCCGTGTTTAGTTTCTCAAACTTTTCATGGTGAAACGTTTTAAATGCTTGAAGTGTTTTAAACCCTTTGTACATTGAAGTTCAAGCCTTCATCTTACATACATGCCATCTAATATACTTAATTGGAGGAAATTTGGAGGAAAAACCTTTGTTGCTTAAGATTTGCTTGTTTACTTAAAGTATTATTTCATATAAATATGAAATCGAGAACATTATTTATGTTCTCGATTCGATTCCAGTGTGGAATTAGTGTTTAATTTTTCAAAATAAACAAACGGAATGATAGCAATATAATAATAAACTTCTAACATTTTTTTTTAAATTCACAAAATCTACGTCAACCAATGTATGCAATATAGCCTCAACTGTTATCGTCACTTAATATCGCCACATAAAAAATTTGCGTTAAAACTTGCATGCACTGCATCAATTTCAACTCGCAGCACACTACACATCACGTCACACGAATGCTCCTCCTGAGCCTGCATCGCTCCCAGCACACAACACGTCACGTCACACGAATGCCCCTCCTGAGCCTGCATCGCTCCCAGCACACTACATATCACGTCGGCAGCCTAATTCCTCGCATGAATCACAATGCAAATAGCAACAAGCCTGACATTAGCGCGTGCATGCATTTCAGTCACGAGGTTCCATATCAAACACTTTTCAAAGTTGAAAGCTTTGTGAACTTGTTGAAGATTAAAGAACCAGGAACTAGGATATCGTTTGAAAAGTAAATTACTAATAAAATTACTGCGAACGTGCAGTGTTGAAAAACGATGAATAAGAAGAATTAGGAAAACTCTATATTACAGTTATATTTCTCGAGCAAGTATGCTAGTGGTCGAAATATTCATTGAATTCAATTTAAAGTTGATTGAATATTCAGAATGAGCTTATACTTAAATTTGAGTTTTATTCAACTGCATAAGCCGAACAATATCTGTCAGAGCTAAGTACAGGGAAAACTTTTGGTATTTTATTGAACAGTTGAACAGGCAGTATTGGGGCATGTAATAAGGGTTCAATAACGGTTTGGTTATATGCATGTACATGTTCACCTATCTTCCCATTTTGACAACCTTTGAATAATTTTCGTCGGTCAACCGCTGGCCTTCCTGCACAAACCGGCAGAACCGTGCATTTTTTTATAACTGTGCAATTAACTTAACAAACTTACAAGGGCAATTTTTTATTCCTTGTACAAAACTTTAGCAAAAACAAACCTCATAATTAATGAAACGTACATATGTCCATCATTCTGAAGAAGTGAGCTTGAATTTGTTGTCCCTATTTTTCAATAAAGGTTACAAAATACTCATCAAATGAGCTTATTTCCCTATTAATTAATTATAATACGGGTTTAGTTAGAAATGATTGAATTTCTAAGTCAGTGTTAGCTACCGGTCAAAAAATTGGCAGAACCACCTGCGAGGCATTTCAAAAATGTAAAATAAATCAAACCAAAAATTTCTGAGGCGGTCCAGCTTTAAAAAATTCTGGAATCATTGTTAGAAGGGAGAATCTGCAAACAAACTTACGCTTGTAGAAAGAAAAGAAGAACTTACAGCGTTACCAGCATTTGTCTGCGATGGAAAAAAGGTAAACAATTAATGAAAATGCCATTTTAATAACACCGTTGCAAAATAATATTGATGAACGATTGATGATTGATGAAATTATCTTTTGAGTAACATTCAGAGCAGCCAAGGTTGATCGCAAGTAATATCCGTCTCCGGTAGTAATTTCTGTCTTCACAACTAATTTCTGTCTTCGGTAGTAATTTCTGTCTTCACAATTAATTTCTGTCTTCGGTGGTAATTTCTGTCTTCGGTGGTAATTTCTGTCTTCGGTAGTAATTTCTGTCTCCGGTAGTAATTTCTGTCTTCGCAACTAATTTCTGTCTTCGGTAGTAATTTCTGTCTTCACAATTAATTTCTGTCTTCGGTAGTAATTTCTGTCTTCACAATTAATTTCTGTCTTCGGTGGTAATTTCTGTCTTCGGTAGTAATTTCTGTCTTCGGTAGTAATTTCTGTCTTCGCAGGTAATTTCTGCCTTCGGTAGTAATTTCTGTCTTCACAATTAATTTCTGTCTTCGTTAGTAATTTTTGTCTTCGCATGTAATTTCTGTCTTCACAGGTAATTTCTGTCTTCGCAAGTAATTTCTGTTTACACAGTTAATTTCTGTCTTCGCAAGTAATTTCTGTTTACACAGTTAATTTCTGTCTTCGCAAGTAATTTCTGTTTACACAGTTAATTTCTGTCTTCGCAAGTAATTTCTGTTTACACAGTTAATTTCTGTCTTCGCAAGTAATTTCTGTTTACACAGTTAATTTCTGTCTTCGTAAGTAATTTCTGTCTTCACATTTAATTTCTGTTTATAATAATAACCTAACCCCCTTGATATTAGTAACTGCCCAGCACACGAGCTGCAATGTTTCAACATTTAAGACTGGATTGGGTTTTCGAAAACGAAATAATGGCAAATGGAATAAAAAACATGATCACCTGTAAATAATTTAAATTAAACTAAGCTATTGGGTAAGTCAAAGGAAAATTCTGAGCTCTTGCTAGTGAATGCATATACATATGTATGTATGAAGCACATATGCATGTTGTGGATGAAATAATGTTGATGGTCCAGATCGTTTTTGATGGAATTAATGTAATTGATTTGGATAAGACTGCAAACTTTAATGTGGTAACAATTGCAGACAATGAACTCAGTGTTTCAAGTAAACAGTTCAAGTAAACAGGCTGACAAGATTTAATAAAATAAGAATTTGATTAGGACTAAAAGAATACACTGGAAATTGTTTATGAGTATGTCATTTTTTCTAATGAATTTCATGAGTGTATAAATGTTAGTTGCTTGATGATGCAGCATCAGTTAATAAATGTTTTGGTGTTTAGCTTGTACAACGTTTTGCTGTACTACTAGAATTATCTCATGCAGATTTTAATATTATGAAGACTTTTCAATTTTGAAGAACTTCCAAATATGCTTCATATTTGGGTTTGATCAGACATTTAAAAAATGTGCGCGATGTTATTGCTTTAATTAAGCAGTTGAAATGCGTTGTGGCAAGCCACCATCTCATTCGAAGATAACTTGGTTGCAATTAACCCTCTACCTTAGGCGACACGTACACCTAAGGTTTGTTGAACTTAAATAATTAGCTTCATTACGCTTTAAATGGCCCACTTAGGCCTAATCTTTTCTTCCTGCTTTTTTGCAATTAACTGAAAATAAATGAAGCTTAAAACTTCGCAAAGCGTGAGTCTCGGATACGCGTCTGAGAGTTCAAGGAAGACGATTGCAAAAGTTTTAGTCTCGCAGAAATATGTAAACCTGAGTTTTCTGTGTAAACCTGACCTCACTCTGTTAAGAAAAAAATAAATTAATTTAAAAGAAAAATTAAGCCTATTTTAAAATGCTAAATGTCAAGAAAGACACAAAAATATCCTTTTGTTTGATCTTGCATGGATGTCTCGAAAATGTTTAAGAAGATTTCCCGTTCAAGGGATTTCTTTCTTAGCCAGAGATATGAACAAAAATCAATATACAAATATTCTTTTACATATGCAGTTTTCTTTATCATTAGCTCCCAGAAGTCAACGCAAACCGACATAGGAGATATTTTTATTTCGTAACAAAGTTTCAAAATTATGTATTCGCAAAAAAAATTGTCAGGGTTTTTTTAAACACTTTTCTTTATAATTTATGTTTCTTCATAATTGTATGAGTTCGTGATTTTAAACGCGAATTATCAACTAATCAAACCTTGCTAACATTTTTCATCCGTATTGAGAGAACTGCATAGTTGAACTTACGAATTTCAGGGCAAGAATCAATCACTGCCAAATGCCTAAATAGTCGTTTTCAATTATAAGCCTAAAATAGGTCCACAATTAACATAAAATGGGAATGTCATGCATACCTAGTTATTTTACAATGTGTAATAAAATTGACATTGAAATTGACACATATTGAATAGATTAACATTCAATTAAATTAACGGAACACACAAGACAGCAATCAATTTACACATGTTACAAAATTTGGACTATACGCACAAAATGTGTAAGCAAATTCAAATATGCAATGCATAACATGTATGCTTCCGGGGAATACGATCAAATATTTATTCCGTACATCTTTAAATTTGCCTATGCTGTCAAACAGTTATCCGATGCATCTTTAAAACTTGTAAATTCAATCAAATAGTTATCCATCACAATTTAAAGTCGATAATATAATCTCAAATAATAATCCAATCTAAATTAGAACAACATACGATATTTTCATCAGCCCAAATAACAAATTAGGATTACAATGTTTGATGATACGAAACAAAAAAGACGAACTGAATTCCCTGAGAGCTCAGAATGTGCCACCGTCCGACTGCCAACATGTTCACCGCGCGAGACATAAACGCTTTCACTTAACTTAGAGACCAAATGCAGTTTGTTTCTGCATGAAACAATAGTTCCGAAATTTGATGATTTTAAGGTTACCATCATTACAGTGCTATTAAAGCAAAGAGCGGCGTTAAAACAAAGAAACCAAAATTATAAGATTCGAAGGAGCCTTTTTATTTCATTTAAATTCATCCTATATTGATCAATTTAAATTAAATACATATATTGTATTCTTTGTAATTATGAACAAGCGTGAATAGGACTTGCATGCGTGTTCAGCTTAGACTTGCAGAGAACATTCATTTGAAAAGAACGTATATTGGTATTCTAAGTCTTAAATTAACTTAAAAATGTACTCCCTCATTCTTTTTCACTTTCTCCATTTTGTTTAATTTCACTTTGGGTTCGCACGAGAAAACTGAAAAAATATATTACCATCGTTTCCGAATTTCTAAATATTTCACTAGATGTCAATTTTTTGGAACTCGTAAATTCACAAAAATGCTTCTAGTTTTCGATCGTTGTCTTATGGAAAAACACAAAGAAGCTTATAACGTAGAAGAAATAATTTCGCAGAGCAAAGTGATATGAGTGCACCAGTAGAATATTTGGTTTTGCAATTGCCTTCATTACGAGATATTTGGTTAACTGCAGTGCGCTCGAGCGAGCGATGCGCGAAGCTATCACCTCGCATTGCGCACTCGCGAGACTTCTTGCATTTTAACAATCACATGATTGGTGGAAATGCATCCATGCAAATTGTTGTAGATAATTGTGAATTGAAATAGTATTATGAACAGAAATTCCAAACAGAGAGATCAATGCTTCCATTCAAGATATATGTTATAATATTACAATAATACAAGTTGAACAAGGGCATCTAGTTTTAATTCAACTTATGAAATTAAAATGAGTAGTCCAAAATCAAAACGGGAAAAACACTAAAAAGAAATATAAAATACAATGACGTTTCATCATTCTTATGTAGTCGTAAATTATTTAAATTTAACCTCTGAACATTCACTTATCATTGACATCTTAATCCTTTACACCTTAAATTGATCCTTGTTGAAAAATATGCAGTAATCTATTCTCAATTTTATTCCAGGCAAGAACGCCTCTGCCATTCTAATCCAAAACATACTTCATTTGAATTGACTTTCAGTAAATTGGTTCGTGAAGGGAAGAAGAAACTTGCAGAAATTTTCCATATTCGAATGAGTGGTGAATTTTGTACACAATTTTGGACTCTTTATTAGGACGTTCAGCTGCTAACTTCACATTTTAAATGGATTTAAACAGGATTTTTCTGTGACCAAAATAATAGGAGATGCCTTTAAACGAACAATAACAACACGGTTGTCATTCACATTGTGTCGGTCGGAGGCGACGAGCCGATTAGATTGCTGATCTAACCGAGGGTTAGAGCCCTGATCTAACAGAGGGTTAGAGCCCTGATTTAACCGAGGGTTAGAGCCTGATCTAACCGAGGGTTAAAGCCCTGATCTAACAGAGGGTTAAAGCCCTGATCTAACAGAGGGTTAAAGCCCTGATCTAACAGAGGGTTAGAGCGCTGATCTAACAGAGGGTTAAAGCCCTGATTCAACCAAGGGTCAGAGCCATGATCTAACAGGGGGTTAGATCCCTGATCTAATAGAGGGTTACAGCCCTGATCTAACCCAGGGCTAGAGCCCTGATATAACCCAGGGCTAGAGCCCTGATCTGACCGAGGGTTAAAGCACTGATCTAACCGAGATTTGGATTGATGATGCACACCAATATTTGTCTGACATAATATGGCCAGGAACCGTGCCAATTAAACGTCGCAGATAATACAATATTGCAGTGATGTAACATCATCAACTATTAAAATGCAATAATGTATACTTTCTTACCATGAACCAGTCTCTCAGGATGCAAAGAGGGCTTTCATCAATCCGGAGACTTTACAATAGTTTCAATAAGGTGATGAGGTAAGACGGATGGGTGATATCAACGTTTTATTCATACACAATGGCCCTAGCCTGGACTTCATTTACAGCTAAAATAAATAATGAACTTTTTGGGACTAAGCGAAAAAAAAAACACTTTCTGCACATTCACATATAAAGTTTGGTTTCTTGGCCATTATTCTAGGTTGATTCCAAGCTTGCGAGTCGAGGC